AGCACATTCTCTTGAAATAACTACACAAGTTGCCATGATGAGGATATAAAACTCCTCACAAAAATTTTTTTAAAGACCTTATAACAAAGAAGTAACTATTCCTCGAGAAAAAAATAGATGACCGTGTGACATCCTTAACAGCCATACAGTTCTCTGAGTCAAGTTAGTCAGAGAAAGTTGGCTGAGGCCTGCATGAAGGGAGAAGAGCTTCGGTGGCATGTAATGAAAATGTGTATCTAGAAGGATATGGTGTGTCTTGATCCTGGTCTGATTCTAAATGACTTTTGACTCTCTAATTTATCTTTGATCTTTGGGAGCAATCAAAAGGCACTTAGAGTCTAGTCAGTAAATTGTATAATGAAAAGGGTAAGAGCTAACCCTACCTCTGCTTAAATTGAAACATGATAATACTTATTTTCTCATGTAGCTCATGGCTTGATGAATGGTGATTTACGAATGAAAGCTTTGTTCCGAAGCAGGTTGAAATTTGGTGGTTGAAATGTGACTTTATCAGGCCTGGTTCATTCTCAAATTTTAGACCTTTATTAAAGGATAATGAAGTGAGTTAATATTTAGTTCCTGGCAAGGATATTATTGATACACTATCCTTTTCAGCAATTTAGTTTGTTTTCATCTTTAAACATCAAAACCGTGGTCATTTCCCTGCTTGCCCAAACTGAAGAATCATGATGAGAATAAACAAGTATATATAAAAGATACATTCAGGGTCAACTTAATTTTTTTCCAACTTAGAGTGCACATTTAAAATCAGAAAAGAACTTATAGCATAAAAGGGAAATCAGTAAGAAGTGTTGTTAGACTTTAAAGAAATATAACCAGATGTCCCTGTGTTTGCTTCAAATTGTATCAAATCCCTTGTATGTTTTCCATCCAACTTGCATTCTAAATATTTTAAGCTCATTTCTTTGCATCCATACAAAATGAGAGTCAACCTACTTTTAAATAGGCGAGGCTATGCTAATGAAAGCAATGCATTGCAGAAACAAATATTTTGCGACAAGACCTCATCCTTTGTGTGTAAATTACACAAATACTGAATGCACAGATCTATAAGGCAAAGCACAGAGGTCTTTATTATCATTGTGAATTTGTGACTGTTCAACTGACCATCACTTTGCTGGTTAACAGAGACAGTTCAGCAATCTTTAGAAAATGCAAATCATTTGTCTTAACCAAAAAGCTGGTCAAAGGCACTTTGCCCAAGCCTCCAGGCCCCAGATGCTCCAAGATTCAGGTAGAGAATTCCTGCAGAGTTGAGACTTGTCAGATGTCACGTTGCAAAGATTGCATTTGAGAAGAGCTATTCCTTACACATCTCGCTTCAGTGTGGTAATTTAGCAATTCACAGATGTGATTTCTATGTATTAAGGGAAAGCATTTCTTCCCACACTGGAGGGTGATATCAAATGAAAATTAAAAAGAAGATGATAACTTGAACACTTATTATGAGTCAGACTACATTATGAAGAGATGATCTGATCACTCCCTGTTTACAGTCCAGGCTCAGAGAAGCACCCTATAACTGCCCAGTGTCACGTAACTAGTGAGGTCGGAGGTTCAGGCACAGATTCAGTAGAATACTGCCGCTCAGTTCTCGGGTTCCCATTTTCTCATATTGCCCTTGAGTTATCAAGACCAAGTTATCATTAACCGGATGAAATGAGTCTGACATCTGTATGTCTCACCAACTGCCAAGCTCTAGAGCCATATTGTAAAGCTGCTGTTTCTCTAATAATCTTAGAAACTATTTAGACTTTTCTAAAGATTATACCTTCTTGGAGAGGGCATAGTTATAGACAATGCATTCTGAATTTGCACGATCCTGGTGTCACAGGCGGTGGCTTCACGCACTGCACCACAATGCTGCCCCTCTGATTACAGTGAAAAAGCATTGACCTCCAACTTTTCCAGTTGAAGTAAATTTAGTTATAAGATAAATGAGTGATATAAGTTATAAGATAAATTGTATGTGCTGCCTTTGATTCCTATGCTCTCAGTTCAAAGGCACAGCTCTCCAAAGTAGCCTGTTGTAAGCATGAACAGGTTCCAAATTTAATGAATTAATTAAATTAATTAAGTTTGAGAGATTTTTTTAATGGAGTGTTTTAGGGTATTTCTATATAGGGTAATGTCAGGTGCAGAAACAGGCAACTTTGCTTTTTTATTTCCAATTGGGATATCTTCTATTTTTATTTTTTGACCTACTTGCTCTGGCTGGGACCTCCAGTACTACCCTGAATAGAAGTAGTAAGAGTAGACACACTTGCTCCCATTCTTAGACAAAGAGCTTTTAGGTTTTCATCGTTGGCTGTAGTGTTAGCTGAAGTCTTCCCTACAGGGCCTTTTTATGTTGAGGCAATTTCCTTTGACTTTGAGTTTTTCGAGAGGTATTGAATTTTATCAGACGCCTTTTCTGCATCTGTTGAAATCAGCATGGGGTGTTGTCATTTGTTATGTTAATGAAGTGTGTATCACATGAATGGATTTTTTGATGTTGAACCATTATTGCCTTGTGGAGATAAATTGCATTTGATCTTGATGTACGGTCCTATTCAGGCACTGTGGGATTTGTGCTGCTAGTGTTCCACCAAAGATTCTGTGTGTGCTTATTGTGATGATAACCTGTAGGCTTCTTTCCTTCTGCAGTCTTCATCTATATGTACCTTAGAAAATATGTTTGCAAGTATTCCTTTATCTTTAACGTCTTACAGTTCCAGGACTTGTTTCTTTTCTTTATTATTGTTATTTTTAAAGATTTATTTATTTGAAAGGCTAAATGACAGAAAGGAGAGAGAGAGAAATGAATCCACTGTCGACAGGTTCGCTCCCCACATAGCCAGAGACCAACAAGGTTGAGCCAGGCCAAAGCATGGGTGTCAGGAACTCATCCTGTGTGAGTGGCTCTTGAACCATCACACGCTGCTTCCCCAAGAGCCTTAGCAGAGAGCTGCACCAGATGTGCACTACGGCGCCAGCCCCTGTGCAGGAGTCTCCCTTTCAGTGTGTGGTAGCCTTCCCCTCTGCAGCCCCTGGCCCTGGTTGTCTTGGTTACCAGGGGTTTGATGCGGTTTGCTTCCTGGCTGCAATTCCATTGAGACTTTCTGTTCACGGTTTAACCTTGGATAGGGTCTTGCTTTGAACATGCTTGGATTCGACACAGCTAATTTTCTTTCATATTTTCTCTTGCTTTTGCCTTCTTTTATTAGAAATTAAAGCTAAAGTGTTATAACATGTCCAAAAATTTTACCTGCAGCAGGACTTAAGAGACTGTTGAGTGGTTACTATCATTGTTAGCAGCTAAAAGGAGTGCCCTGTAGAGCCCAGATGGCATTGCTGCTGCGGGCTTGTTGGAGCCTGTCTAATGAATTCTGAGGGTCATCTAATCCTGGACACAACGCTTTTTTGCTCTCAAGAGTCTTATGTCCTATTTTGGCTGCAGAAAATGTGTAATGTTTTTATTTGTTTGCTTCCTTACTGGCACCTCTTTTTTTTTGGCATGTCCTATTGGCATTATATCTATAGAAAACTTCCTGGAGAGCCATTCATTTTGTGTTTGGAAATACTTTTGTGTCGCTCTCAGCTCTCGCCTTCAATCCGGAACATCCAGTCTTTAACCTCATCAGAGACAAGAGAAACAATTGTGGCTTGATTGTGGTCAGGGGCTTTTGAGTCATGCAAAGTCTGCAACTTGTGAGTAGGGCTGTTTTACTAGAAAGTTCAGTGATGCTGTGTTTTGGTCAGAATCTGTAATTGCTGGGAAAAGGTCAACGAAAGCAGCTTTGATCAAAAGACAAATTAGTCTCTGAAGCTGGTGTTAATTGGCAGCCAAGGTGTTTCATTATGGGACTGGATTTGTAACAGTTGTTACTTGGTTACTATGAGAACGCCAGAGGAAAACACGACAGGAACATTTCTCCCATCTCTCAATCCGGAAAGGCGAGTCCCCCTTTAAAACGTACCTGCCGTTTAGAAATTGTGTGTGAGTGCCAATTCACCGTTACTTCTAGAGCAGAACTGTGTTTCGTGAGGAATGGCCAATCGGTGCTCACTCAGGCTGCAGGAGCTGTGCATTTTTGTTTGCAATTCTCAGTGTTCCAATGAAACGGGAGACCTTACTGGGAGACCTGTTTTTCCTTTGTGACCTGGAGCAGCAAGCAAACTGCAGGAAATATATAAATTGAAAGCACGAGGATGATTCTTTTCCATGAAGCAATGAGAAGTGTGGGTTTTTCTCTCTGTGTGTCTTGTACCTATTGATGATTTTTTTTTTAAAGAAAAAGACACCTGAGGGCCGGAGGTAGTGAAGTCCATCTGTTTATGACCTGCCAGCGCAGTAAACAGCATGAAGAAGGTTACTCTCCATTAGTAACTCATCCAAAGCCCCTGGGAATATGTACACTTTAATATTTTCCCCATTCTTACATTTTGCCAGCTAGCTAAAAAGAACCAAACAAAGCCTTCGGTTTGCTCAGTGAGTCTTCAGCCTACAGGCAACATGTTCTTGTGCTAACTATGACCATCGTTTTAATCCCGATTGTGCTAAGCATCTATAGTACAGTGATGTGGTGGTGGTGGGAGGGGGGACATATTGTATGTTTGTGTGTGTGTGTGTGTGTGTGTGTGTGTGATAAAGTTGCTGATTTAATGATCATGTCAGTGTTTCCCAAGCCAAATAATTTAGTTATGTAATCATAGTGTTACTGAAGCCTGGGCTGTTGATTCTAAAAAGCAAGCATGGCTGTGCTTGTTGTCCTTCCAAATACAAACAGGTTTTCCCCTTGCCTTGCAAAGTCTCAGCTAGGGCTATAGAGAGCAAAATAATGAATGCTTCCGCTGCAGCATGTCACAGGGGAGGCTGGGACAATACTCAACTCATGCACAGCGCGGATCCGGGCTTGCTGGGCAACATGTACACCTGGCTTTCTGACAGCCGCGTGGGCTCACTAGAGACCTCTGCCATTCTGTTCACCCTCCTGTAGGCTATGGTCGAGACAGTTAACAACCTTCTTCAGCCACAAGCCTTGAATGCGTGGAGAGACCTGACTACAAGTGATCAACTGCGTGCAGCCACCATGCTGCTCGACACCGTGGAGGAAAGTGCATTTGTGCTGGCTGATAACCTTTTGAAGACCGACATTGTCAGGGAGAACACAGACAACATTCGTAAGTGGCCTTTGTCATAGCGAAGGTCTGGAAGCTCCTGTTCGCAGAAGAAGGAAAAGAAAAATCTCTCTCTGGTGCCCCAGACAGGGAGGATGCCTCTTTTCAAAGATGAATTCCCTCTTCTTCCAAAATGAGGAGGGTGCCATCTCGTGTCTTAAACAGATCAAAAATCATGAATCTTCTTCCTGGGCCATTCCACTGCTGCTTGTTTTAGCCTGAGGTCCCTTGCAGGGAAGCTAACTTACTTATCTTAGGATTCTTAGATATGCATGCATCTGTCTTGTGGATCTATGAAATTTCATCTTCCTGTTGCAAGGTCCGTGGGTCATTTCTGCTGTAGTAAGAGAATCTCTGAATGGGGTGCTATCAAGAAATAAAGCATTTGAGTGGAGATGACAAAACCATTACCTCATTTATAAAACAGAATATTTTCAAGCCCAGCTTTAGGCTAAGAATACAGCCTAAGAATTTGGGCTTGAATTTAAAAATTTCAGCTTTACCATTTACATATTTGTATTCATTACAGAATTTTTACTGCTTCTTTTGCTTTAAGAAGATAACAAAGCACTAGCAATGTATTTTTCTTAAATATTGAACTACTATAACGTGTGTGACAAAACAGGAAGTCCAATGTTGGAGTTTCCGGGTGATTTCAGGGATTCTGGAAGATACACAGCTTCAGTACGTTGCTGAATGACCTCTGATGGTCCTTCCTCTTCACAGAATTGGAAGTTGCCAGGCTGAGCACAGAAGGAAACCTGGAGGATCTGAAGTTTCCAGAAAGCATGGGTCATGGCAGCAGTATTCAGCTGTCGGCAAATACGTTGAAGCAGAATGGTCGAAACGGTGAGTCACTTTGCCGAGCCGGGATGAAACTTGCGTGGGTTACTGTCCCTGGGCTCGTGCATTGCGATCCACTGTCCAGGTGCTCACTCCGTCCCTCCCTCCCTTATCTGATGCGCCTCCTCAGCTTTCCCTCTTTGAATTGATTATCCTGTCTGTACTATGTTGACATTTATTCCAGAAAACTCTGTGAAGTATTTGGGCTTTTTTTTTTTTATCACTTTCACTCATTAGAAACTGAAAGATGAGGGGAAATTTCTGAACATTCAGACCGTCTGACTTTTTTCCAGGGCTTTGTTGTTGTTGTTGTGTTTGTTTTGTTTTTTACGCTTGCAGAATTTTTCATGGAAAATTTATGTGTAATTTTAAACCTACATTTTTTGGGGGGGTGTGTTTTGTGTTTTTGTTTTTAAGATGTGCTTATTTGAAAAGCTCAGTGGTGAAGAGGAAATGATGAGGATCTTGGATCCGCCCTTTCATTCCTCGGTGGCCACGTGGCTAGGGCTCGGACAGGTGAAAACCCAGAGCCCGGAACTCCGTCTGGGTCTCCCACATTGGTGGAAGGGGCCCAAGGTCTGGGACCATTTTCGACTACCTTCCCAGGCACGTTCCAGGAGCTGGATCGGAAGTGGAACAACTGAACTTGAACTAACACTCGTGTGGGATGTTGGCACCACAGCGCTGTCTTAATGCACTCTTCCACTGACGTCACATGTGTTTGTAAAGCACACAGAAAATTTATTTGTAAGGAGGGTGCTTTGATGTGGGACTTAGAGATCAACTCAGCATAGCACAATACTGAATTCATGGAAGATGAATAATCTCAGTGAATTTATTGGCCAAGATTTACTAATACTACAAATTTTAAAATATGTTCTTTTTTCCAAGAAAGTGAATTTTTTTAAGAAAGTGAGTTTTTATAATTGTTATTATTATTTTGTTTTATGATATAGTTTAATAAGAGTATTTTAACCTCTCAAGTAACCTCATATCCTAGTAACCAGTTCAAAGCTGTTAGTTCATATTACATAATGAATCATTTTGGGTAAAAAAAAAAGGAATTGCCATAAGTAATATCAGGAAAAAAATGATACTTTTTATTAAATAAAATGCTTTATAAGTGTTAGATACCTGGTTTGATTGAGCTTACAAATTATTAGATTGCCAATTTGATCTGTCCAGCCCACTTTTCTCCTTCCTGCTTCATTCATTGGTCCTTGTGTGTGTCCCTCATTTACTCTGATTCAGTCTTGTCTCAAACTTCCTGAGTGTTCCTGCGTTGGGTTCTTTTGTGTGTGTGGTTTTTTTCCTTTCTTTCCTCCCAGAATGAAATGTTTACATTTCTTTGTGCGGAAGGCTCCCTTGAGGGACACTCTTCCCCATCTTCCCTAAGGGAGATCACGCCTTTCCAGTAACTTTTCCTGTTGACCACACTTACACCAGTGCTGCTGCGTAGCGTGTGTTCACTTACTCTTACAAGGAGTCCAACTGGTATCAGTATTTCTTAATCCACCTGCCTGTTGTCTAACTCTCTCCAGGTGGGATGCTCCCCACAGACAGGGACTTTGTCCATCTCCTTGGAAATGTGGTGCTTTACACAGCCCGTGCACAGCAGCACATTTACGAATGACCTGTTGAGGAAATGAGTGACGCTTTCGGTCCATTTGAATTGTGTGTACATTTATTTTTATTGCTTATAAAATCAATTCATAATTTTTTCCTTAGTCTTTTTTTATTGTTATTAACATTGTATTATGTGATACAGTTTTATAGGCACTGGGGATTCCCCCCACCCCTCCCATAACCTCCCCCCATAGTGGATTCCTCCACGTTGCTGGCATAACCACAGTTCAAGTTCATTTGAGATTCCTTCATTGCAAGCATATACCTAGCATAAAGTCCAGCATCTTATTGTCCAGATAAGTTCAGTGGCCTCTTGGGGAGACCTTCTCTGGTCTGAAGGTAGAGCTAACAGAGTAAAGTTCCGGTCAGTTAAAATCCCCAACAAAACATCAGCATCAATATACAACGTTATGGAATTAATCATTAAGTTTGGACCACAGAATCTGCCTTTGACCATATGCAGTGGTAAAATATGGTGGATGACAACATGACACCTTTACATAAGTGGAAATTATGAATTATTAATCAATTAGAAGGCAGTTAAAATAAAAGTTGCTAATATCAACAAGAAACCTGCATAGCTGTTCTTAAATTTAGACTTGCCCAAATCAGCACTTGTTAACTATGTATGTTAACTGCAGAAGGAAAGAGCTAACTTTGCTTTCTGGGTTGTAATGCATAAGAAACATCACATCCAGAGATAGGCATTAGGTGAGAAAGGCTTGTTCCTTTGTACAGCTCTCACAGTTGCTTTGCTGAGTTCCTGAAACGATAGCACACACCTCCCGATATGCGAGAAGACTTGAGAAGCTGACAGCCACCTGCCACTCAGCGCAGCATTCAGCTGGGAAGCAGTCACTGCTGCCATGTGTGGGCTTGCTGCTGCTGCTTCCTCGTGAGCCCGGCTCCTTAGCTGCAGGCCACGGTCACTGCAGACTAAGACTGCTGCCACATCGGGGTGGCTCTGCTGGGGAGACACAAGCAGCCTCTCTGTCAAACCAAATGTATGTCCATCTCATGTTTGTGCCATCCTGAGAGCAGGCCCTTCCCTGGGATGGAAGCAGTGTCGGTCTTGAACAGGCCTCGTTCCTTAAGACAATAGATCAAAATCTTGTGACCGTCATCACTCTGGAGGCTCAGTCTTGCCTTTCTTTCTCCATGTGACTGAAAGATGTAGCCACGGTGAAAATGGCCTCAGCTTGTATATATATAATTTTCATTTTATTTAACGGTAAGATAGAGAGACAACAATATTTCGAGCACTGGTTCACCACTCAAATGCGTGCAATGCTAGGGGCTTTGTCAAACCAAAGCCAAACGCCAGGAACTTGGAGACTCTCCTGCGGGTGCCAGGAACCCCATTACTGGAGCCGACACAGGTGTCTCACAAGACGCAGTAGCAGGAGACTGGGATCAGGAAGGAGCAGATCTGGGACTTGCAGAATGTGGGCGCTGTGATTGGGATATAGACATTCTGGAAAGTGTCTGAAATAGTGTACCTAACGCTAGAAACCACAGCCAGGAGCGCAGTGCACATTCCTTGAGGAACTGATAGGGTTTGTACAGGAAATAATGATGTAAGGCTTGGCTTTAAGAAAGGAAGTGACAGGGATGGTACCGTGGTCTAGTAGGCTAAGCCTCCAACTGCAGTGCTGGCATCATGTATTGGGGACCAGTTCCAATCCCAGCTGCTCTACTTCCGAACCAGCTCCCTGATAATCTACTTGGAAAAGCAGCTGAGCATGGCTCAAGTGCTTGCGTCCCTGCACTCATGTGGGAGACCGGGAGGAAGATCCTGCTCCTGGCCTCAGTAAACTCCACCTCTTGCCATTGCAGCCATTGGGAGAATTAACCACGAGATGGAGACTCGTCTATTCTGTCTGCTTTTCAAATAAAGTCAAATCCTTGAAAAGAAGAAAGGAAGGAAGTGATGGGAAAGACATTATCACACAGCATTTAAGCAGCTGCTTGAGTTGTCCTCACTCTGTAGCAGAGGGTCTGGGTTCGAGCACCAGCTCCACATCTTCCTGCTAAGATGCACCTTTGCGGCCACATGGCTGGCTCAAGCGCTTGGGTCCCTGCATCCGTGTGGGGGACCTGATGAAGTCCCTGCTTGCTAGCTGCTGCTTGGCTTAGTCCCAGCCTTTGTTAGCATTGGGATTAGAACCAAAGGCTGTATGGAAGATATTTCTCTCTCTTTCTCTCCCTCTCTCTCATTCTTTCCCTCATTTTCCCTCTCCTCCCCTTTCTCTGATTTCTAATTAAATGAGAAAAAAAAAGTTTAAAAAAGAAAGGAAGTGATACAAGAAAGAACATGTTAAAAGGTTAGTCTTACAGATGATTACATTTAAGAGTTTTCATAAAGGGATAAAGATATGGAAGGATTTGGTGACTTTTTGGAGTGACCTTGAAAGAACATGATAATTGAGTTCTAAGATGGGCAAGTAGTATGAATCCTTGCTTTAAAAAATTGCCGTTGAGATCTAATTTGCATACAATATGATATAGACAATTTATGCATTAAACTTGATGCATTGAACCATTGTATGAAACTGTGTATTTTCATACAATAAGAAAATTTTCTGTTTGGAGAAAATTCTGTTTCTCTTACCAGGCATGTCACCAAACATGTCATCATGTTCTTTTGGCCACCTAATGAAACTTCTCATTGCTCTTACTGCAGACAGAATTTCTTAAACGTTGTAATATGATGTGTACCCTTTTCTGTCTGGATTTTTCAGCATAGCAAGCAAAAATGTTTTTCTAAGATTTCTTTCTTTCTGTTGGAGAATGACAGAGAGAGGAGGCCACCCGAGACAAAGGAGAAATCTCCCTTCTGTTGGTTCTTTTCTCACACGGCCGCAGTAGCCAGGTCTGGGCCACTTCAAAGCTTGAATCCCATTTTGGTCTCCTTACATGGCTGGCCAGGACCAAAGTATTCAGATCACTTCCCACTGCTTTTCCTGTGCCACAAGCAGGATTCGGGATTCCAACATCAGGGTGGCAGGCTCACCTTGTGGACCACAATACAGGCCCCAGCAAAGCATTTCTGAGATTGCCATGGCATTTTATCTGTCTGTATCTTATTGTTATTGCACAAGATGCATTATTGTATTGATATACTGCCAGGCCCTAACCTTATCTTGTATCCCCTTCTTTCTAATAACTTTTTGAAATGTCTAGACTTAAGAATATTTGTGTTGGGGGGCCTGTCCCAGTGTTGTTCTGTCACTAAATCATTACCTTGCACACGCCAGAATCCCATATTGGCACCAGTTTGAGTCCAGGCAGCTCCACTATCATCCAGCTCCCTGCTTGTCACCTGGGAAAGCAGTCAGGGATGGCCCAAAGCCTTGGGACCCTGCACCCGCGTGGGAGACCTGGAAGAAGCTCCTGGCTCCTGTCTTTGGATCAGCTTATCTCTGGCCATTGTGGTGGATGGGAGACCTTTGTCTCTCCTCTCTGTAAATCTGCCTTTCCAATAAAAATAAATCTACCTCTCTTTCTTTTAAAGGAATGTTTGTATTGGTTATATGCAAATACCCTGCCCTGCCTATTTATTTGTTTGTTTGTTTGTTTGTTTACATGAAAGAGAGAGGGAGGGAGACCTTCCATATGCTGTTTACTCTGCAAACGGCCAGCATGCATTGGGCTGGGCTGTGCTGTAGCCAGGAGCCTGAGACTCATCCTAACCTCCCACAGGAGTGGCAGGAGACTAGGCATTTCGGCCATTTTCCATTGCTCTTCTACACACAGCAGCAGGGGGCTGGAATGTGGTGGAGTGTCTGGCACTCGAACTAGCTCTCAGGCGATGTCTGTGTTACAGGTGGCACCTTGCCACAATGCTGTTTCTCTGCCTTTAGAGAAAAGAAATAGAACCTCCACACATCCTGGTATCCATGGAGTATCTGGAACTCATGCATATACTCTACAGGAGTGGCAGTTGCCCCATACTTATGGTGTGTATAAAATGGTGCCTCTGTGTGGTTTAATTTTCATTCCCTTAATTACTTTGGATGGCTGATCATTTCTCATGTGTCCAGTAAACTTCACTGACTTTTTTTCTGAAGTGTTATTTATGTCTTTAGCCATCTAAGTATTATTTGCTTTTTCTTAATTAGCAGAAATGCTTTACATATTTATGGATCTTACATATGTGCAGTTATATTTTTCCCCTTTTGTAGTTTGCTTATTCATTTTCTTAATGATTGTGAGAAAGAAAGATTTTCAGTTTTCTCATCCGAGAGACAAATGGAGTTTCCATTAGGTGCTTCACTCTCAAAGTGGTGACAGTGGCCAGGGCTGAACCAAGCTGAACCAGGAGCTGGGAACATACCTCCTATCTCCCATGTTGGTGACAGGAACCCAACTACCGGAACCCTACCTGTTAACTGCTAATGTGTGTGTTAGCAGAAAGCTGGAGATGAGAGCAGGGCCTGGATGCCATCCCATCCATCTGGTTTTGGGATGTGGGCATCCCAGTCAAGGCCAAATACCTATCCCCAGAATGTTCCACTTACCGTATCCTACCTAAGGTTGCTTTGCCTTCATCAAAGTCAGAGATACTTTGCTAGATGTTCTTTCAGACCTGCCGTGGTTCTAGTTTTTGTGTTTTTATCTATAATCAATTTTTGAGTGTAGGATTAGATAGGGGGACCATGGTTCTTTTCATCATTTTAGAAAATATGGGTATGTAGGCCTGACACAGTAGCCTAGTGGCTGGAATCCTCGCCTTGTACATGCCATGATCCCATATGGGCAACAGTTCTAATCCCAGTGGCCTGCTTCCCATTCAGCTCCCTGCTTGTGGCCTGAGAAGGCAGTAGAGGATGGCCCAAAGCCTTGGGACCCTGCACCCGCATCGGAGACCTGGAAGAGCTCCTTGCTCCTGGCTTCAGATTGGCACAGCTCCAGCCATTGCAGGCACCTGGGGAGTGAATCATTGGACAGAAGATCTTCCTCACTCTTTCCTTTTCTGTGTCCATCTGACTTTGCAATGAAAAATAAATCTTTAAAAATACAGACATGTCATTGTTTTAACTTAATTTTGCTTTCCTAGTACTGATTTGGGCTTTGCGTGAAATAAGTGCTTAAATTTTGTGTGAATAAAGAATATGGAATAAGGAAAGGTACACACTAATCAGAATTTCTGTCAATTTCTAATTCCCATTTGCATTTGTTTCAGGAGAGATCAGAGTGGCCTTTGTTTTATATAACAACTTGGGGCCTTATCTGTCCACGGAGAATGCCAGCGTGAAGTTGGGAACAGAAGCTATGTCCACAAATCATTCAGTTATCGTCAATTCCCCTGTTATTACGGCAGCAATAAACAAGGAGTTCAGCAATAAGGTCTATTTGGCTGACCCCGTGGTATTTACGGTCAAGCACATCAAGGTAAGGAAATGGCAGGTTAAGCTGAGCTGTCGGCTTTATTCCTTACCACTTGACCATTGAGTGTATTCATTTTCCCTTAATGCAGTAAGTTTTCCCACATATGAAGTTTGGGGGAGAATAATTCTTGTATATAACAATACTAAAATTCATACCTCTGTAGTGGTTTCTCCACAATTCGAGCTAGAACATGTCTAGATACCTAATGAATGAGAATGAGACCTACAGATGATTGTATTGTACATGAATTTATATTCAGTGCTACTATTGCCACAAAGTGATTGAGCTGAGTAACTGTGAGATGCAGGAGATACTAATTTTCTTCTTTACCATAACTTGTTTCCTATCTCATGACATCATATTACATACTTTAGATAAACACTAGAGTGTTTAATTATTAAACAAACAACAGTATGCCACATGGGAGTGGACATGGCTTAATATATGATATGCCAGGCAATTATCATCTTTATGTATAGATGCATTTTGGTATACATATGGAGACTGAAATTATGCCTTCAACCAAGGTTTCCTAAAGATATCATTTAAGAAGGATATTGTTTATAAAAGATTGCCTTCTTTACTTTATAAATTTATGTCATTGTGAAAAATTAGTGCTAGTACTCATTCAACGTTAAATTTAAAATCATCAGAGACTTCACCTCTAGCAGGAGGCGATCATAGTGAATGTATTCAATTCTGCCTATAATTAATAAGGCCCACTCTAAATGAAAGCATTGGCAGACTTCTCTCCAGAAATTGGAATTGGGTACAAGGTTGTGCTGATTGTCTAGAAAATGCCTACTGGTTTTAATTGTTCATCAAGCAGTTATTGGCTTCCTTTGTTTTCCCCCTTACACCCCATAGCAGTCAGAGGAAAATTTTAACCCCAACTGTTCATTTTGGAGCTATTCCAAACGCACAATGACAGGCTACTGGTCAACACAAGGCTGTCGGCTCCTGACAACCAACAAGACACATACTACGTGCTCCTGTAACCACCTGACCAACTTTGCAGTATTGATGGCACACGTGGAAGTTAAGGTAAGATATATATATCGTAACATCAATATGCTGTAGCCCACAGTCACATGGCTATGTGGAACTAATCCCATGTCTGTGCGCTCGTCCCCCCCCCACGGTTTTTCCATTTTCGTGCTCATTCAGAAATTCTCAGACATTCCAGCCACATCCTGCTGAAGAGTCTCTCTTTGCTTGTTAGTAGTGTAATTGACAAAATAAAAATCTACATAATAAATTTCCTCTGGCCTCCCTGTGCCATTACTCATGAATAAATGTCAGACTGTAACATCGTGGTTCGAGAGGAAAGAACTCTCGCACCAAAAGCCTGTGGCATTTGGCTAGGAAGTGTGTTAGTCTGCTTCCTGTCACTTTATAATATCTAAAAGGAGCTTCTTTGAGAAAGAAAAGGTTTATTTCAGCGCAGAGATGGGAGTTATCAGGTTGGGAAGCCCATGGCCTGGGGTGTGATGTAGGTTGATCGTGGAGGATGCTGAGGCACGGTCGCACAGTGAGCCAGGCAGGAGGGAGAGCACCTGGCCTTGCTGAAACCCACGTGATGAACTCGCTGGTGAGAACCACTTTGTGCAAGCATGTCTGCGGTGACCCACAAGCTGCTCGGCGGCCCCACTTCCCAGCTGCTGCTGTTCAATGGAACCTCTACCCTTACGTCATCAGCCACGAACACAAAGGCAACAGAGTTTAAACACAGGCTTGTTTTTTGGGGAGACTGCATCCATGACAGATAGCCAGGACTGGGAGGGGTGAGGAGTAAGGAGCTGTGTCCAGGTGTAAACTGTGTCAAACTGACTCTTGAGAAAGCTACTGTGAAGCACAACACGCAAGCATGGTTATGTAAAGAACTTGGCAACTCTAGATCAATGGCTGGATTCCATCCATTTGAGAAGACACTGTTCTAAAGGGAAAATCAGCTCATCAGGAGTTTTCTAAGTCAAAACACAAAGCTGACTGGGCTGCGTAGGTTTCTCCCTGATGTGACTGGCTTTTAAAAGCAGAGTTGAGGGCCCAGCGCTGTGGCCTAGCAGCTAAAGTCCTCACCTTGATCGTGCCGGGATCCCATATGGGTGCCGATTCTAATCCCAGCAGCTATACTTCCCATCCAGCTCCCTGCTTGTAGCCTGGGAAAGCGGTCTAGGGCGGCCCAAAACCTTGGGACCTTGCACCCACATGGGAGACCTGGAAGGCTCCTGGCTTCAGATCAGCACAGCACTGGCCATTGCACTCACTTGGGGAGTGAATCATCGGATGGAAGATCTTCCTCTCTGTCTCTCCTCTCTGTATGTCTGACTTTGCAATAAAAATAAATAAATCATCTTTTTTTTTTTTTTTTTTTAAGCAGAGCCGAGAGATACACAGGGTGGGTTTGCATGGGAAAGAAGGCTGACAGTTTCAGGAAATCAGTCCAAGAGAGAAACGGATGGGCAGATTCCACAACATCAGAATCCTGGGTCAGGAAGGGTTAGGCCAGGGAACTCAAACTCCGAAGTGTAAGTCAGTGCATCGGGTGTAAATCAGATGGATGCTGACATAGGGAACCTGCGGAAGTGCATGGCATTGGAAGCTTCTGCTTTCATTCCGAACAAGAGACTTCACGACAAGGAATGATGGAGAGTGCTCGGGTCTCTGCTCTCGTCACAGCAGGTCAGGAAACAAGGATGCCTGAGACCCACACGTGAGAGTCAGTCCCTGGCGAGAGCTGCAAGAAAGCTATGGTATAAAAGTGACAGATAAATTACATGTAAAATGGCTTCTTTACCTGGACCTCAAGATTCCTAATGAAAAGAATGAATATTTTCTAAACACTTAACGCAGCACAAAACTATATAATTACATTTATATCCTTGGACAAAACTTTCTTCAACTGCTTTGGTAACTTGTATATCATTTCACTCCCAATCATTCAGTGTTATCAATCTCTTATAATATCTTTTATTTTTGTAATTAATCTTTAATAAGATTGCCTTTGAACATATCATGGGTATTTATGTTTGAAAGGATAAAATATGCACAGATCCAGCATTTTATGTAAAACTTAAAACCTAGCTTTTTATTATAATGTCTCTTTGTCATAGTTATCTGATACATTGTGGAAAAAATGATTACTTGAAATCCTACAGTGGCTTTGGCAATGACTGAACACTCTTTTACACAATTATCTAAAAATCCTCATTATGCAGGTAATATTACTTAGCTGTTCCATTTTGCTAATTGACAAATGGTGTTTCCAAGGCAATATGAAATGTGAAATAACATGTATTTCTAACCATAAGGTTCAGCAATATTAGATTGCTTGTAGCATAATAAAGAATAGAATATGAAGACTTCCCTCAAAAGTTTCACAATTTTGTTTGATGAAATAGAAACTAGCACTTATTATGTAGCGTAATAAAGTAGTTACAAAAGTGAAGTTTGCATTACTGTGGGAAAATTGGATTTGTAAGAGTCAAGAGTGTTTTATAAAATGATGATTTTGCTGGACAAGTTGTGAAGAAAATTCCATTGAATAGCGTTAGCAAATCAGAAACATGTTAACTAAATGATATCCTATATATCAAGGTGTATAGAATATGGTATGAAAAATTAAGGCTTAGTGGCCCTGACATGTAATACAGCAAACCAGCGCTTAGAAAGGAATGGAGTAACTCTTGTGGGGTGTGGCTGTGAAAGGCTTTGTGTGGAAATTTGGGTAAATTCTGAAGATCCAGACAGGAGCCAAATGCCCCCACATTATGTATCCCCTATATGCAAATATTTACAAATGATAAATAAAGCTGTCAGAAATTCATTGTATCTGATCTCATAATGTGCACTGTGATAATTACAGGCTTGAGGACACAAGATCTGAATTTAGAATTTCCAGAATCCCCCGGGGTCCCTTTTCTGAACACAGCAGTGTGGGGAGGGGCTGCCCTGGCTCCCACACCGTAACTTACCCACAAGACAGAGATGCACTCCAGGACTCCTTTACCACAGCCTTTGCATATACCCATGGCATGAGCTTTTGCTGTGGGGCTTTAAGAAACTATTGATAGATTTCAACACAATAATGGCACTATTTTACTTTGCATTTTAGATAATCCCCAATATTTTGTGGATGACAGACATAGCATCTATTAGTCGGGCTGCAGTGTGACACTTATCTCAGGGAAGGGAAGTTTGGGGCCTCAACTCGGGCTGCCCTAATAGCTGTAAAGAAGATTTGTATCTCAGATATCCCAAAGACATAATAGTACAAACAGCTTGTTGCCTTCATGTAAATATTGGGAGATGGATTATTAACAAGGTTTTATATACTTGTAAATTCTAATCTTCCCAATGTCAGTAAGAATAGAATTATTAATTTTCAACTCATTTTTTAAAAAGCTAAAGACCTGGCAAAGATTTGATCTGTTCCATGTTGTTGATCCAACAAATTTCATCCCAAATCTTTCTTGATACAAATTGAAAGAGCAAAGGTACAACTATCCTGCAGAGAGATGAAATCCATGGCCTGTTAATGGTAACAAAAGAGTACACTTACCTTTGCTATGTCAACACTGTTCAAATTTTATTCTTCAGAAGACTGCACACGGTTTTGCTGGAACATCACAAATTGATCTAGCTTAGCAAGCTTAGAAAGCTTTACTGTAGTAATGAGTGATAGATGGAAATCCAGCATGTGTTAGTTTGTCTTTGGGTTCTACATTTCAGCCTTGGGGAATAAACTGAGAAACAGGGATCAAATTTGAGGCAACAAGAAAATACCATTTCTTGCTCAGTTCATTACCTCTCCCCAGTCTATTATATAAGAATCACAACTGTGACCAGTATTGTATGTCAACAAGAGATAAAATAAATGGAAATCAATAATTCCCTGCAACAGGCAGTCACACAATATGCTTCCTGTCCTGAATTGCTTGTATCAAAGACTGCTGTGATGGTGCAGCCTGTCTTCCTCTGGACATTAGGACATGATTTTGGCAGTTTAACAATGAAAGCAAAACCAAAACCAAAGAGATGGTTCTTCCCTTGAAATCCAAAAAGAAGCCCACTTACTGAACTTACCTTAGGCTAATGAGTGAAGACACTCTTCTCGACTTCTGTAAGAATTCCAGCAGCCAATTACAACAAATGCTTATGTCTTGTTAGGTGTCATTGACTAGAAGGAAGTCTATAAAGGAAATGACATTGCATTGGCTAATTCTTCTTGATGAGCTCAGCCAACGCAGAGGGACTTGGATAATCCTGATGTATGCTGACATCAGGCAGACGTTCCGTGCTGTAGCCAGCTCTCTCCAGGGCTGAACTTGACCACAATATTGCCTTCCCAACCATCGATCTAGTTAACACTGCGTTCTTTTTAGCAACATTTTTGAGCACTTAGGTTAGTCATCATAAAAGCATGAATGTGCTACCCAGTACACAGGAGACCTTTAACAAATGTGCCACCTTCTTCCCAACACGTGAGGTTCCTAGGGATTCCTGCTCTCAAGGACATCACATTTTTGAGTGGGAAGGGGATTTGTAGAGAAGAGAAGCTGCAGTTACAGTCTTGACAGGTTTTGTAAATGAGAATGACACTGTGACTTTGGGACACAGAAGATCATCTATCTGAGACCAGATGGCTCAGGAAGGGCATGTCAGAGAGGTGCCCTGCTCTAAAGTATGTGCAGGGTAAATTAAGTAATGTGTGGAGACTTTGAGCTGGCCATGTGCCTGTGACATTTTCTTTGCCTTAGGTATATCATGTTCTCTTGCTCCTTCCCTTTTTGAACAGCTGGTTCTTTGTTGCTTCCTTGTCTGGTTAATCCTCATCTAGATGCAGATTCTCCCGTCACTCTGGCACACAACATGACCCTAGTATCTATTTTTTTTTTCTTCCTAGGTGATCTCATAGAGTCACATGGCCACAATCATCATCTTTGACCCCACATTTCTTCATTGTTTAACTCTGGACCACTGACTTGGTATTTCTACTTAGGGATTTAATATGCATCATAATTCTAGAACTGCAATTTTGCTGT